TTGTGCTCTTCTCTGGCCTTATTGTCAACAAAGCACTTCAGTGTCTTTGTATATTTAAAACATAAAATATGCTTCAGCCATGGAGTTTTAAAAGAATGCTTTAGTGTGGCCATTGAGAAAAATAATAAATCAGGATACAGCTACTTCATTGGGATGCATCAGCATATCTTTTGAGTGTGGAAAGCTGCCAGAAGGGCATTGTACTAGTACACTGTGCTGTGCATAAAGTTTACCCTCCATTTCATTTGAAATTGAGGTCAGAATGATGAGGTCCTTATGAACGCGTGACTCACTAACTGAAGCATCGTTTTCAGCAGCTTACCAAAAATCTTGAAATGATAAGCAACACTAAAATTGTTAGTGCTGAAAATGAGGAGTCCAAAAGCAGAATACTCATATATTTTTCCAAGCAAAAAACCCTGTAGTAGTAGTAATAATATTAAAATCTTACTGATAACGCTTTTCTAATTGAACTAGAATTCTTATCACTGAGCATATGGGTATAGAACAGCTGATGAAGTAGAGGACATTGACTGCATTTGTAGGATATTTAATTTTAGATTTTATTTCACTTAAAAATCTGTTTCTGAGTGTATGTGAATGTTTCTTGTTGCCAAGTTCTCTATAGGCCCACCTGCATTTGACATGCTCCACTTCTGCTCTTTATTTGAAAATAATTTGGCATACATCATTCTTGAAGAATAACTGAGCTGCCTCCGTCTAAAAATATCAATAATTGTTTAAACTGCCCAAAACCCCTTGCCTGTATCCCATTAGCAAGATCATAAATTTAGGAGGAGCTATAAATATCAAATATGCAGCATATATGAAATCAATGAGGTGACTTCTGATTTGGAAAAGTAAAATGGCTTTCTTCAGAAGGTAGTGTACAGGATATATAGAACTTTCAAAGGACGATTGAGGGTCTTATTAACACAATCTAATTAACCTCCTTCCTGTACAAGGTTGAAGTGTTATATGCTCTAAACAAATGTTGAAAAGTGCAAGGGAAATATGGAACCGGATCAATTTTCTTTTAATGATAAATAATCCTTCTAGTCTGGTTGGATGAAAGTAAAAATGTGGGCTATGGTTTTGCTTTTGCCATGTGCCAGGATTCAGCTCAGAGTGAATTCTTCAGCAGAGTTATAAACCTTTGAAAATTACTTTATAATGGAAATGGTGACAGGCCATTAACTACAGTAGCATAAATGCATTGATTCAACATATGTATAGTTGTCCTAAGTTGCCAAACACATGAAACAGTATGTGCTGAATGTATAGGGAGGAGGCTTCTTTGTAGTTTTAACTAGTTAATGCATGATTCATATTATGTTAACATTTCTCAAACATACGGCCCCTGACAATATTGGACAGGTATCATTTAGGGGCTAAGATATATTTGTACTGTAGTGACACTGTGATCCCACTCTAACTTCTATACTGGAAGGGGACCAAGAAGCATTTAACATGATGCGTTTAATCACCAATGCAATTACAGTGTCATTGAAGCAGATATGTTTTCCTACTACCAAGTCATAGGAACTTCTAAATAATAAAGAATCATTACTAGGTATGCTGGAAAACTTTGTTCCCAATAAAAATGCAGAATCTGGGATTCTGCAATCATATTTAATTAGCACCTGTGGCTTAAATATCTTTAAAATTAAAAATCTAATGCATGCATGCTATATGAAAACTTTTTTTTCTCCAAATTACTACTTATTCCATCCTTAAAAGACAACTGAACAAAAATTATTTTCAAGAATGACTATTATTCTGGTGTTGTTTTTCAAGCATTGAGAATATACACCTATGCTAGAATCGTTACTTATTTTTACTCTGGTGCAGCTGCATGATTCTTGCTATTGGTGGGTATTTGCATTAATAATGCTAGTTCAGTATTACCTTAAAAAGTGTAGGAGACCTAATACAGATGAAACTGAGCATTTTATATTGCCCTTTGGCACTTGTGTGGATTTAAGTAGTTTTTAGTTTTTAGCATTTCTGTGCTTGTTGTTTTTCCTTTCTGTTTTTTTTTTTTCTTCCTCTTAGATCACTTGTGTGGATTTAAGCTAGTATTAGTTTTTAGCATTTCTGTGCTTTGTTTTTCCTTTCTGTTTTTTTTTTTTTTCTTTCCTCTTAGATGGGAATGGGGAAGCTAGGAAGTGCCTGACAATCTGCTGGAAATGTAGGCTTTTGTTACAAAACCTTCAGTATTTCTTAGGTATGCCTATATAAATTTCTTGGCAGAAAATTGTTTTCATTAGGGAGGCTGAGATCAGGCAAATTTCTGTATACTTCTTTTTAGCTCTCTTCGAATGCGCAAAATTTCCACGTGTAATTTGTTCTTGAACCTTCAGATTGAGATTTGTCTTTTTTAGATTGGCTATTCTGATCAACTACTGTACATCTAACAGTCTTGTCTTTGAGATTTATGGCTAGAATATCAACTTCATTCTCTACATGTGGTTTCATATTGATAAAATCATTTACTGGGAGAGGGGGAAGGAAAAACAAACTTCCAGTGAAGACAGAGTAGAATGCGCATTGATTTGAATGAAACCTCGCAATGGTATACTGCCAAATGGCAAGAAAGAAAAGGAATAATTAGTAGAATAGGGCATAAATTTGAGTAAATAATTTTCAGCACTTTTAGTGGGGCAGATAAGGCCACACCTTCAGAAGAATGTCCTGGAAGTAACATACAAAAATGGAATCAGGGAAGCAAGCAGAGGGGCTGAATAAGAATCTTAGTTCTTTAGTTTTATTAGTTAGTTACGTATCAATACACAGGATTTGACATATGTTATTTTTGATACTTAGTGCCTTTCACTGGCTCTCACGTTGCATTACTCATCTTTAACCAGAGATGCAGATGTTGATCTCACTGAAGTTAAGACGTTACAGTGGTCTGTACGTGCGTCTATCTGAAGGCTCAAATAGTTTCTTTTGCTATGGAGATTTGTAGGCTCAACAGTGCAAGTAAGGGATGATGGTTTGAATAGCCTCAAACGTGTGTTTTATTTTTATCCTTACATGTGATTTATCTATTGCTTAAAGTATAAATATGTTATAACTTCCAGGATTTCCCATTTCTGTAAATTTCTTCCTCTTTCAAAGTCCCTATGTCATTGTTATTACTTTCATGGCTGTGTTAAGGGAGTGTTTTTTTCCTTTGGCAGTGGAAGCACTTTTAATACCTACGCTTGTTTCGGACCAAGTTCTGGGGAGTTGTTGCATGCAATCATTCTGTAGCCTCTGGGGTTTTCCAGCTGGCTTGAAGTATCCTCTGCCTTTAACTTGCTCTGCCACTTGACCTTCCGAGCTTGCTTCACCTTGTGGTTTCCAATCTACATAATAATTTTGTGTCACCCTTTAGTTAAATGGTTTCTTTTTGACAGATGGAAGTACCTTCAAGTAGGGTTTAACTTTATATTCTGCCTCGGAGATAATACCATTCTATTTGACTTGATTTGTCCATAAATATGAATGTCTTTCTAAATACCAGCTTAAATTATGTACAAGTGGAGACTGTAAATTACCAGTATAAAACTGGCTTTCTACGGATATTGTACATACAAAATGTATGCTGTGGTAATTCTGGATTAGGTGCTGTTAAACATGAAGCTGACTTCTATAAGGGAAATCTGGGAATTACCTTAATATGTCTGGTTAAAAACTGTGGTGGTTTGATAACTGATGGACAAGCTTGTCGAATATCCCCGACCTAACTGCAACAGAAGGGTGTAGAAATGTTGGGTGTCCGCCTAAAGACTTGCAGTCTAAAACACGCAATTCTCACTGCCAGGACTGACTTTGAATTTTAGCTTCACTGTGCCTTATTCACCTTTACACTCATGATTTTACTGTATGTTCCTAGAAATCTGAAATGTATTGCTTTCCCTAAAAGTCACCTGCTCTAAGCAGAGTTGGCCGCTGTGACCATCTTTTTCCTATGAAGTGGAAGGAAGGGAGGCTGTGTCATGACCAGGACTGTTTGATGCTTTAGAGCTTTGAGTGTTTCAAATAAAATTACCTCAAGAAATAACAGATATTACAGATGTACAATATATTTGAAAAAGCTATCAGGAGCAAAGAAATGTTATATTTTGGTGTTCCTGGCTGGCAGTATGAGTTTCTGGTGAATGCTGGAGTCACTGGGAAGTATTCAATGTAAAACAGCGATGTGGTTAACAAGATGAACTTCATAGAGAAAACAGCAATGTGCAGGTTTGCTCAATTTTAAGAGTCTGGTGAGAGATCCCTTGCCTGCTGTAAAGAGGAAATCCTAGCAATGAGAGGAGGGATTTGCAGTGTAACAAAGAATTGTCAAACATATATTTTACTTGACAGACATTGACATGACTCTCAGATAATATCTAGTAAGTTTGACGTACGTAAACTGCTTAATGCATTTTCTTTGTAAAGCTTTTGCTCTAATTAAATATTGCCCTTTTAAAAAGGGGCTGATTGTTGATCAACACTGTTACTCTGTCTCTAAAAAATGCAGTTTTCTTAGTTCTAGTTTAATGTTGGTGGATCTGCAGTGACATAAGTGACTGTGCAAAAGAAACTGAAAGAAAAAACCCACTCAAAGTTTAGATTCTCATCTTATGTAGCAGCCTCAGACTTGGATGCCTTAAAAAAGCATATAAAAGGATCAGAGAGAAAGTGATCCTTGAAACTGTAACAGTGAACTGAAGTTATTTAGCTCATAAGGTCACTTGTCCAATAGCACTGTCCTTTCAGAAAATCTGGGGTTTTTTTGTTGGAACAAATGGCAGCCTTTTTTCTTTTTTCACATAGCTGTATGTTGTGTGTGTGTGTGCGCGCGTGTGTGTTTTTCATTGTTGGTGTGCTGATAAGTAAATATTATATGAGGCTTTGGATTGATACTTAACAGCTGAGATGGTTGATTATACCACTGAAAACATTTGTCATTGCCCGTTCCAATGTCATCAATATGAACCATCTGAACTCTGCCTTTCTTTTTCTTTGCTGCCCCTGGGGTTTAATGGCTTTGCAGAGAAGCTCCTGCCTGGCATATTGAGCTGCTCCAGAAGGTCTAACCCATAAGCAGTGAGTACTGAACTGCAGCACACTAATGCTGTAGGTGTTGACTCACCATGCTGTTTTTAATTGCAGTTCTTTTGAAGGTAGATAATCTGTGCAGACTGTCGACATAGATATTGAATATTTGGGTATATGCCAATTTGATGATGTATTTGTATGGCTACAAATGCTGTTCTGCTTTTCTTTTCCTGGGAATTAACTTTTCTCCTGTGCACATACTGTTTGCATTTAAAACTAGCTTTCATGTGTCTGTGGCTCTTGCTATAGCTGGCAAATGCTTATGTCTCATATCTGCAGTGAACTGTGTTCTAGAATTCTTGAGCCTGATGTAAACCAGCTTTCAAATGTGCATGAAAAGCATCTGTAATGTTTTGATGTGACTAATACTAAGATATGATTGACCAAGTCTGGATTTACTTTGTTACTGGAAAGTCATTCAAAATACCCATTTGCAAACTCGGGGGGGGGAGGGAATTCTATAATTCTGATAGGTGTGTTCATTTGTGATATAATTGCTTTGAAAAAAACTGTCAAAATTTTTGTCTCAAGAGAATAAGCAATTTTGATTTTTATAATTTGTATATTGTAAGATGCAGCTCTCGTCTCAAAATTCCATCCATGTTTGGCTGGAAATAGAAAACAACTGTTTTGGTAGTCTCAATTGTTTTTGTGTGTGCATATTTATACAGATAAAGATGCAATTAATTTGGCTAAATGATACGTTCCAGCTAGAGGCTGCCCTGAGGAGGCAAAAAAGTCTTGTGGGCACGGACAGTTTTGGTACAACCTTGCCTGTCAATATGTACTTTCAGACCTGCTCAGGACGGTGTTAACACTTATAAGTAATGGCGGAGCTGATTCAGGAATGCTGAACAAATCCAGTATTGGACAGCGTGCACAGAAACTGGGTTGCTCTTCCCTAAAGACATTTCAACATGTGGAGAGCTTTTGAGAATATTCTCCAGCTCACTTTGTAAAAGAGATGCTGTGATGTTAGAAGAGAACTTTTTGTAAACTGGGAGAAACTTGTTCTCCCATAGTATATTGCTTTGGGTAGTTTCATGGTAGCCCTAGAGAAGTCTATAGCCTTTTTTTTTCTTTTTTTTCTTTTTTTTTTTTTTTGGTGGGCCTACTGACTTTCTTTATGAGGGTGAACACTTGTGGCATAATTGCACAAACACTTTGGCGACATCTGGGAGGCTTAAGATATTGCTGTCATTCTCCAGCTGTTTTTCTTTCAGCTGAAGGTTACTGCCCTCAAAGTTGAGCCACACTAATGGATCATATGAACTATCCTAGTCCATGTCAGTGCAAAGTCAGCCAGGTTATTTTAAATTACTGCTGGATGCAGCTGAGGGTAGTAATGAACAGCTTGAGGTAATAACTTCTTAAGCCATTCCAGCTAGAATTCCAAGAGCACATCTGTCTGTGTCCTTATAAGTGCAAAACTTTAATCTCTCTATTGCTGTACTGTATTCAGGATTTGTCAGGACTGCAAAGCTGTTGCCCAGGGGAGTCTAATATTCAAGTGGAATGTATTGGCTCTTCCTGTCTATCATTATTATATTGCAATAGAAAGATCTGAATGACGAGTGTGTAACATATATATTGAATGGTAAAGTAAGCTTATTTTCAAATGAGGTAAATGTGTGGAAGTCATGTTTTGGGAACTCTTTAAATTGGAAGGAGATTGCCATATGAAGTCTCTTCCCCCTGTCCCTGTTCCTAGTTCAGTCACTTCTAGCCACTTATCTTTCCTAGCCATTAAGTTCTTACCCTCTCTGTACCCTTGCTTCATTCCCCCAAAAACTTCTCTGTATTGATTAGAATTATAATGAATTTTTTAGCTCTATTTTTTTTTATTTTTGCCCCAGGTCCAGCAAGACTATGAATCTCTGTTCCAAATGCTTTGCTGGTAAGTGCAGTAAAAGGTTTTGTGTTTTTGTTAGATTATCGAAACCACATTGTTGGCATCTCCTTCAGGATTTGTGCATGGGTTTTCCTTCCTTCAGTGTGTATATGTATTCAGATTTTCTTCACTTTGGTGCTTCATTTATTTGCTAATCAAGAACTTCTTGCGTAAATGTACCAATCAAACCTTGAAGTTTATGGAATTCTGGAACACCCTTGAATTACAGAGCTCTGCTGTCAGCACAGCTCCTATGTGGATGATGTGGCTTTCAAAATGTATAAGTCTGAATTGTGATTTGGAATTTTGTAGGATTTATTTTGTAATAACCTCTGAAATATGGTATGGATAAAAAATGAAAAGGAAAAGTTGGTATAGAAAACCTCTTGCTCCATTTCTTTTTAACTTGCAGCCTTTGAACATTAAATCATCAGTAACTCATCAGTAGGCTAATTCTAATAGCTACATATTATTTTCTTACTGCGAGGTAATTTCTACTGTGTAAAATGTTAGGAATTGCTATTGACCTTTTCCTGTTAGCATGTTCTAGCTTTGCCTTTCTGAATTTTTTTGGTGGTATTTAGTATTGTGAACTTATTTTTATTTGTAATAAAAGTGCTGTCATAGTTCATGATTTTTAATTTCTCTTGGGGGAACAGGTACAATATTAAAAAGTTAAGAATTTTTTTTAAACTTTCAGTCATTGGCTATGAAACACTAATATTGAGCTTGCAGAATTGTGTGGTTTTTGGTTTTTGTGTTTTTTTTTTTTTTTAAGGTCATTGGTTTCCAATGCAAAATCATAGAATCTTTGAAAATTAAGGCAAAATATACCAACCACCCCCACCCCGGAATTTTAAAGCTTTTTCTGAGTTTTTTTACAAAAAAATGACTTTTGACTTGTAGATTTCAGATCTTGGGTTCAGCATCACTTCATTAAACAACCACATGGGAAATAAAGATTGTCAAAGGCTCTTCAACAAAATGATGCCTATATTTCTCTGGCTGTTTTCCAAAGCCATGGATCACTGGAAAGGGTATATTGAAGAAAGTGCAAGTCCTTTCTTGTACTCTTTTCCCTACTGACCGCTGTCAGAAACAAGCTACTAGGTCTTTGATTTGACTCAGTACAACTGTTATGTTCATATTAGCACTGTAAACAACTTCTGTTTGCGCACCTAAGAAATGTGGATTTTCTCATTCTGAGATATCAGAATGGCCCATCCCTCATATTCTGGATTTAACAGAGAACCCAAAACTTCACAGCCAGCAGGCCAGGCATTAAGCAAGCCATCTTTTATTTTGGTTTTACTGGTTTTTGTTTGTTTGTTTTTAACAAGAAAGAAAATTCTTGGCTTCTACTCTGTAATTCTCCTGAAAAGCCATTACCCCTGATCAAGTTCATTTTTCTGTTGTAAAAATAGATATCTAAATGTGTGTGATTTAGGGGGGGTGGGGGGGGAAGCTTACCTTTTAAAATTTTCAAGACTTTCAAGCCTGTTTATTTTAATGAAATAAGACTTGAAGAGTTTGAGTAGCTTAAAAAGCTACTGCTAGTTGGAACAAAACCAAGTATTGTGGAAAAAGGCAAATTTACTCTGTCTTTTTAGATTTTTAACTATGATTCCTTCAACAAGTAGCATCATAATAAGCAGTCCTGTTTTAGTAGTAACTCAGAAACTCTCAATGTCATCAGTCCCACATAAGGTGGGTTTTTTTTCCTTTTATGTTACTGAAATATTTTTAGCATATTTTTTATACTGGGTTTCCAGCCACAGTATTGAAATAGAAAGATGTATACTCTTGTTTCTGTAAATTTAACCACCACAGATAGCAAGATTTTAGGCAAGTAAGCTGTTGGAAGATGTTTTTCATCATTCCAGGCACTCCAAAGATATGATGTGAAAAAAGTTTCTCTTCTTTCTCTTTTAATGTGGCAAGTTATTTATTAAAATGTATTGAAGCAGATTTAAATGCAAGGGAAAATTGGGAATTATTATTTCTCTTGACCGTCGTTTCCTTTCTCTTTTATTTTAGAAAAAAGAAATCCACACAACGAAAAAGGTTAGTAACTTTGTTAAATGTTTTGGTTTGTTTTTTTCAGCGGGAATCCAGTCTTCCTGGTTTTTTAAATAATTTCAGACACACAGAGCAGCAAAGCCCTTTGCATTTGTGTAAGCATTATCTTTTTATATAAATCAGGGGAGAAGGGCAACAAGTCAGCAAGAGATGAAAGCATTGTTGGGTTTATATTGCAATGTGAATTATTACATGGAACTGTCTTATCTTTACTGGTTTTTCAGACTTTCTAAACTGTACAAGTTTGTAAATACATGATTATGAGCTCTTCTTTAGTTCTGCCCTTCCTCTCCTCCCCATGCCCGGTCACAGTTTGATGTCTGTGATGGTTAATTAGCACAGAAATGGAGCAAAGGGCGGTGGTCGGGGGCTGTCAGTTTGCCTTCTTGTTTGACCAAACACTTGTGATTTCTGAATTTGTTATCAAGATAAATTCACTGAATTTTCACTCCCATTTGTCCCCAGATTAAACAAACAGCAAAAGCAACAAGATTATGTAGCAAGGAGAGTGGAATTCCTTGTTTTGGCTATCTTTGTACATTTTGTTGTATTAAACACGGGAATACTTTTCACAGGTTATTATAGAGATTAGGTTGTTCAGCTGTCTGTGGAAAGAGTGAGCTGGATACTGCACAGATACATGCAACCCTTTGCCTAGAAGAGCCCAATGTGTTGACCTAGATCTAGGAGGTTCACTAAGCTCTTCTGTACAACCACAAATCTGCTGTTCATCTGCCACAGACTAGTTCTTGGCTTGCACATAACGGTTGACAAATACTGGAGAGGAGCTTGAAGTTAGCTGTCCTCTTCAGCCCTCTTTGCCTTCTCTTCACCCCATCTGCCTGTTCCAAGAAGGAATACCTGACTTGTTTTATTTAAGCCCTGTAGAAGCAGCAGACTCTGAAGTGTTCAAGAGCCTCTCTGAAATAATTTCAAGTTAATTGTACTTCTGCAAAGTACTTTACAATATTCTATCTCCAATTCAGCGCTGACCATGTGCTATCAATGCCTCAAAGTCTCCAGATACAATACAAGTGTAATCCTAAATATCAAATTGCTTCAAATAAATTTGCTGTTCAGATGGTTAAGGCATGGCTGCTTCAGACTTCTTGCACATCAATACAAATGCAATAAAGTGTGTGGGGTTTTTTAATCAGACTATAGGCTGGTAAGTGAAAAAATGCAAATTATGGCCAGAGTATCTCCCTTAATGACACCACATCTTTCGCTAATACTGCAAGCTCTTTTCTTTCAATATGGTGAACTGTGAAATCTGAATGATTAAAATACAGGACTGTGATGAGTGAAATTTCTCAAAAGTACTCTTTATTAATCTATCTTTGCTCCCATTAGGTTTATGGAAGTTTTAATATCAACTTCAGGTAGGGACATTATTTGAGTACTTTTGAAAAGCCACTTTTACGAAGTAGGCTCTTTCAGGCAGGAATTCTACAAACATTTACAAAAACAACACCTGGTACCTCAAGAACTCAATTTTAATTGGAACCTCTGGGAACAGTCACAGAACAAACTGTTACAGAGTAAGAACAAATATTTAAATACAGAAAACTGTAAAACTAGACTTTCTACTTAAATCACCCCAAAAAATGCAGTCTGCCTTTAATCCATTTGATTGTGAGTCTAGAAAGTTTAATTTCTGTTAAGGTGCAATCAGCATTGGAAAGAGGGATGCAGGAAGTGGATTTCAGCTTGTTCAATAGTATGTGAAGCTGAAGGGTAAGCGCAGCAGTGGATGGTTCGGTGGAGAGATGCACTTGGAAAACTGGAAGAAGATGAAATGATGATTAGAGTATTCATGGGTTTGTGAATCAATTTCATAGCCCTTCTGTCTGAAGGTGTAATTGAAACTTCTAGAGGTGGGTGTCCATCTCTTTTCTTAATCCAGCTATGCAATATTTACGTTCATGTTCTGTGAAGTGCCAGATCAGCATCACTGAATTTGAGAAAATACTTCTGAGTTTTAAGGGCCTCGACTCTTAGTTCAGTTTTATTTTTAGTTTGAAATCAAACACATTTTTTTACAGACTGGTATCTTGATGACTAAAAATCATAGATACTTAATCTCAATCTATCAAGTAGGAAATCAGTATTGCTGGAACCACATAGGTATTGTCAACACATATGCTTGGCCCTGTGCCTAATTATGAAATTTTGTAACTTCAGTAGTATCTTTTATTCTCCTGAATTTGAAAGATCTGATAAGGGGGAAAAAAATAAAAAGAGACACTAATATCTTCTATGTATCATCTGATTCTAGAAGTATCAGATTATTCGCTATTATTTCTATTTCTTGAACTCACTCAGATGTCTGACTGTAGAGTTATTTCATGGTTTTGTGCATCTTAGCCCTTCTGCTTTGTTGAGCAGACCTTTATTTTGTCATGCCTAAGTCCCACAGTTTTCGGAGCTTACAAAATTGGGGTTTTTATGTGACTCAGAGTCACTTGAATAACACAATTTCCTCTTCTCTCAGTCTTTGTAAATCTGGGGAGCTATTTAAAATGCTGCCTTGTCTGGCAGTAATAACACCTACTGTAAGCATGAGCTGGGAAAAGTCAGCATTCCTGCCTAAATAGATTTTTTGCTGTTAATCAACTGCTAACTTGATCCTCAGTCAAGCTTTCAGCTTGCTTACTGGAAACCTTTTCAACAGGTGCATCTTGCATGTTGCTAGTTCAGATGTCGTTATCTTTTGTATCCCGTTGTACGATAAATGATAAATTATGCTTTATTCAGCCCTTCTCTTCTTCATAAAGTTTTCATTCCTAAATGAATGATTAAAAATCTGTTATGTTTGCATTTTCCATATCCTTGTAATTTCTGATGTGGATCCACATGTTTTAGTACTTTGCTGGAAAAGCAGCAAGTGTTTTCAGAAGTTTGAAAACAGCACTAAGTACTAGTTTTCTTTATCTGTACACAAAATGTTTCTTTTTCAGTATGGTTTGTTGGCTTTTTATTCTCTTTGTTGGCTCCTAAAGGAAACCAGTGCCTCAATTTGTTGCTTCGTTAGGCTAGAATTTGTTGCTGTATTTATGTCTGTCTTTGTATTTTGAAGTACATGGACTGCTTGCTACAAAAACGTGCTCACTGGCTGGCACTTGAGAGTAGTCAAGTTTCATCTTCAACTTTTATTACACAGTCAGGCTGGAAGCTAAATAATTCTTTGGAAAATTGTATAGCTGATTACAGTGGCAACAAAGATATTTCTAATTTCTAGAGCAGCTACTCCTAAAGAACGATAACATTCCATATATAACATAGATATTATTTGGCATACTTTAATTTCTTTTAATCTAATGCCCAAAGAATTTTTAAAAGGGGAAGGCTGGTAGCGAAAAGATGTCTTAGCATAATTAGTAAACTTGAAAAGGTGAGATGTGTGCTAAACTTGAGAAAGACAATCACCATGACAATCACCATGAAATGGAAATAAGAAAAAAAAATTGGATAAATAACTTCAGTTGGGCTTTACTTATTTGTAAGCTTGAGTTGTACTGCTGACCCCAAAGTTTTTTTACTCTGTTAGTATGCATTAGTCTGTGGCTTTAAAAAGTGTAAAGATCTGAGTAATAGCTCTGTTTGGGTTGTTAGAACAGGGCAATATTTTGTGGAAGGATTGGGAAAGGATTTATATGTTTTTAGTTTACTCCTTTTCCCCCAACCTGTCTTAAAGTTTTGGAGGGGAAATACAAATTAATAGAAAATGAGTTTATTCAAGTATAGTTGTATTATCTAAGCTTAGGATTAATTGTTTTACTTCTGTCAAAAATAGTACCATTAACCAAATTATCCAGCATATTTATGCTACGTGTTCCTAGTATTCAATATATACAGGAGAACTGGAAATATGGGAGAGAAGGATATCTGAAGCTTTCTAGGCTTGCTGGAGTTTTAAGAGTTAAATAGAGATCGCATTTTGAGTGAAGTTAGTATAATGTTACTTGAGAGGTCCACTTTTTTTCTGTCTTTACTGTCATGGCATGGAAGTTGTGGAGTACAGGGCTCCTATGTTGCTTTGTGGCAATACTGATATAATTTTGCTATGTGTTATATAGAAAGGCGCTAAAGACGCTGCATGGAAGACACAACTCGCATCTGCCTGGGAGCTGGTTGTGTGAAGGCATGTTGCACTGCTGTGCACACAATAGGTTGTCAATAGGGCCAATGGCTCCGCTGCTGGTTTGATTTGCTCAATTATTTTCTCCTTTTTCCTCCTCCTTCATCTTCCCCCATATAAAATAGTGGGAAGAGGCAAGCACTGATGAGAGGACAGACCCATGAAGTATTTCTATTTCTGTACAATCATTAGTGGAAGTAAGATAACTTCTTTCACAGCTGGCACTCAAATGTTGTGTATTGAGGTAGGACAGGTTTTTTTATTTTTCTCTTTTCCTCTTTCTGGCTACTACTAACTTCAAGTTCGTAGGGCTTTTTCCAGTCACATTTGAAAGTATCTTTTCATCAACACAGTCTAGGAAAGTTGAATGCCTTTTAATTAAGAACTTTAATATTTTACAGTCAATCAATCCTATCAGCAAACTACCCTGTAGGACATTAGTGGCTGTTTCACTGGATTGCATCTTGCTAAATTCACAGTCTAGTAGTCTGGGGCTCATTTGTTAAAAATATAAATTACACTCAAACAAAAATATGATCTCTTCTCAGTACTGGCTACCTGAAAAGACTGCCAAATAATCTTAATTTATTTTTTTCCTGTCTTGACAAGACATCACTGATATTTTCCATGTGTTTTCTTTTTCTTATCTCAGGGGATTGCCAGTCCCATTGTACAGATTGATCTACAAGCAAAGAAAAGAGCTCAGCCCTTTTTTGTCTCAGACTTGCATTATTTTTAGTTTTTCATAGCTCTTTTTTCTAGTATGTTTTCTTCTTTATGGTAAAACCAGTTTCTTTTTGTTTTGTTAATATCTTGTTCACCTTCTAACTTGTAACCTTTCCAA